TGTCACTATATCTGCATATGTGCATCTTCTTGCTTTCTATTGTGTGACCCTCTTGTTTATGCCTCGACCTTGACTTTCTGAATGGAGCTAATTTTTTTTTTTTTTTTTTTAATCGACCTTGCCAGATCATAGGCAGTCCCATGAGCTTCTTCGACACCACACCAACGGGCCGCATTCTCAACCGCTTCTCCAAAGACCAGGAGGAGGTAGACAGTGTTATTCCGATCTACTTGGATCCCTTCTTGCAGTTCACCCTGCTCGTGAGCTCCACAGTGATCACCATCGCCGCCGTCTTACCCCTCATGCTCATCGCTGTGTTCATCATGGGACTTCTGTTCACGCTCATGCTCTTGTGCGTTAACACCACTTTGGACCACCGGGCTGTGCCCTTTGTACCTCGGACAAAGAATTTCATGTTGTTTCTGCAGCATGTTCAAGAGGAGCATCCGCCTGATGAAGAAGATGGAGAACATCAGTCGCTCTCCCTGCATCTGCCTCACCACATCCACTCTGCAGGGCCTCAGCACCATCCACGCCTACGACATGAAAGACAGCCACATCCAGCTGTAAGATAACATTTACAACTGTCTTGCTACGCTCCTCGGGAACACGACAGTACACCAATAATTGGGTGCCGTTGTCCTGTCTTGTGTTATAGGTTCAAGTCCTTGAACGACATCAACTCCAACTACTACATGCTCTTTAACGCTGGGACCCGCTGGCTCTCCTTCAGACTGGACTTAATGGCAGCCTTGACGACCTTGTTTGTGGCGCTCATTGTGGTTCTGATTAGTAATGAGCACATCAGTCCGTCCTTGAAGGGCCTGGCTTTGTCCTACACCACGCAGGTGAGTACAACTCGCCGGCGGCATTCAGTTGAGAAGTCACTTTAACCGAGTGACTACGACATGACCAGAGGTAGTATATAAATCTGACAAATCTAGTCAAGTCTTGGTACTTTGTTACTTCCCGCCACTGGACATTGAGTGCTGTATGTGACATGTGTGCAGTTGACGGGCATGCTACAGTACATGGTGAGGCAATCCACAGAGGTGGAGGCCAGGTTCAACTCCGTGGAGCGGCTGCAAGAGTACATCACGGTCAGATAGCTTTATAGAACCCTACAAAACCAATCCCGATTCGACCGTTACGCGGGTGGATCTCCAATCTAAGCTCCTCGTTAAACAGGATTGTAAGTCTGAGGGTCCCAGACACACGGAAGACACTAATATCCTGAAGAACTGGCCCACGGGTGGGTCCATTACCTTCCGGGACTACAAGATGAAGTACCGAGAGAACACGCCCATTGTCCTGAACGGGCTGGACTTCCCCATTCGAGCCGGAGAAAAGCTGGGCATCGTGGGAAGGACGGGTTCTGGTGAGAATTCAGAAATGACAGTTACTCATGCTATCTCTGACAAAGCACAAATCGCATTAGCATTACTAGTATGATCGCTACACGAATTAAAAAAAAAAATTTGTGATGTCTTTTGACATTTCAAAAAAAAAAAAAAATCTGAAAGGGTCTTGTAACATTCAGTTTTATCCATCCATTATCCGATCCGCTTCATCCTCACAAGGGTCGCGGGGGTGCTGGAGCCTATCCCAGCTGTCTTCGGGCAGTAGGCGGGGGACACCCTGAACTGGTTGCCAGCCAATCGCAGGGCACACAGAGATGCACAACCATCCGCGCTCACACTCACACCGAGGGACAATTTAGAGTGTTCAATCAGCCTGCTGTGCATGTTTTTGGAACGTGGGAGGAATAAGAATAAGAAAACCTTTATTCGTCTCACAATGGAGAAATTCCCAAATCAGAATACCCGGAGAAAACCCACGCAGGCCCAGGGAGAACAAGCAAACTCCACAGAGGAAGGCCGCAGTCGGGATCGAACCCACGACCTCTGCACTGTGAGGTCGACGCGCTAACCATTGGACCCACCGAGTCGCCCACATTCAGTTTTAGTTACAATTTAAATCAAGCATGTTTTATGACATGAGCTGAACATTCTGTCCTCCATCTGCCACTTCATTTTCTGCAGGCAAGTCCTCTTTAGGGGTGGCGCTGTTCCGACTGGTCGAGGCGGCTGAGGGAAGCATCGTCATCGACGGTGTTGACATCTCGACCATCGGTCTGCAAGATCTGCGCAGCAAACTGTCCATCATCCCCCAGGACCCCGTGCTATTCATTGGCACGGTCAGGTAACTTAACAGCAAGTGGACATGCAGTGCGCGTTGCGGACTGCCACTGGCTAAAGACCACCCGTGTCGACTCCAACAGGTACAACCTGGACCCCTTTAACATCTACAGTGACAAGGAGATCTGGGTAGCGCTGGAGAGGACCTACATGAAGGACTCGGTGAGCCATCCCCGCAACAGGGACGAAGCTCTTCACGTCCAAATCTAGTTCTGTTTAATTTAATTGTTCATTTTAAATTATTGGTTCATCAAAGAGTCAACCAAAAAAAGAAATACAAGTGTCCTAGGTTTACAGCGTCAAATAACCTCAAGAACTGTACAGCAGGGCTGTATGAAATCCAGAATTGAATTGAGAATTACCCCTAAATTCCAATTCAACACTTGAATCTGAATCGAGATTGCAAACAGGAAGCAAATTTGGAGTTGAAATTTGAATTGCAGGAACTAGAATTGAAAGTCCATGAAATTCAAAGTCATTCATGATGCAAAGTTAACCTCGTTTCAATTCACATTCTGTTCAACATCCTGGGAAGTGGAGTCAATTCAATTTAATTCAATTCAATGGATGCAATGAATTGAATTAAATTTTGACATTTTGAATTTTGCTGCTTTACAGCAATTTATGACGCTGCCTTTTCTTTTTTGGAAAGCGCAATATCAGTTTGTCATTTTTTTGTGGGGGATGGGGGGATTAATAATGCAGACTAATAATTAAAGGTTTATTGTTGTTAATTGTTCATTCTTTCCCAGTGCAGTAGTACACCATACACCGCCCAGCTCTAACAGAAAGAGCATTTAAGAAACACTTTTTAAACAACACTTGAGAAACGACTGCAGAGAGAGGCCACTGGCCGATAGTTGACGTTCTCGTTCACATCTCGTGACTGGCCCTCAAGTGATCTTTTGTCTCCACAGATCTCCAAATTGGAGGGTCAGCTTCAGGCACCGGTGTTTGAGAACGGAGAGAACTTCTCTGTCGGGGAGCGACAGTTAATGTGCATGGCTAGAGCGCTGCTACGCAACTCTAAGGTTGGGACATGGCCACATACTCTATAATCCAGGGGCTCGCAAACTTTTTGGGTCCATGGAGCCATGGCGGGGGGGGGTTGTTAAGCCATAACAAAAGCAAGGATGGATTTCGTCTGGATAAAAAGTCATAATCTTCGGAGGTAAAAATGAAACATTCCTCCCCCTCGTCCAGATCATTCTTTTGGACGAGGCGACGGCATCCATCGATGCCCAGACCGACTCGCTGATCCAGAGCACCATCAGAGACGCCTTCCAGCACTGCACAATGCTCACCATCGCCCACCGTATCAACACCGTAATGCACGCCGATCGCATTCTGGTTATGGACAATGGAAAGGTGACACTCACGTACACACACGCACGCACAGACATACAATGTCTTAATAGTAAGCCCCTGACTGGGTTATCTGCTGCAGATGACAAACTCCATAACCCAAACTCCTAACCTTACAGGTGGCAGAACTGGACATTCCAGACGTCTTGTCGAAAAAGTCCGACTCGCTGTTCTCCTCGCTCCTGGCGGCCGTAAACACTGTGAACGTGTCAGAGGCACATTGATGTACACTCAATATGTTCTCATTCACGGACTGGATGTTGCACATGTGCCCACAGTAGTGGCCATAGAGCCAATTAGTTGTTTGACTTTTGTTTTTTTGTTTTTTTTTCAATGAGTGATAGATGATGTGTATTTAAAATTATTTATTAGTTAATGCCTGGCATTCCAATCACTTTTTCAAGTGACTTGCGCATGCAATCAGATTTTTACATGTTTTTTTTTTCAATAGGTTTGTTGGTTTGTTTGTGCGAACACTGTTTCCATCCTGCTGCTCATTCTTGGCCACACGGCGGCGCCAGTGGTCTTCGCCTGGCTGTCAAATCGGTAGTGACTCATAACTCCACTGTACTTAAATTTAATAAGAATGACGTCTTATTTGGGGTGCAAAAGTACAAAACAACTTTCTAATAAAGAAGCGTTGATCTGTTTGATTTCACTTTATTTTATTTGAATCCCTCAAAGGTAAATTTCAGTGAAACAAACGACCGACAAGCAATGTAATATCAGCAGTACCGGTAATTGACACACTGTACTTTCATTTAAGTTACAGATTACTTACCCAATACGGCGTTAATAATTTCATTGACTTTGAAGAGTGAATGTGCGGCGGGGTATTAGACAGGATTATTGATTATATTCGTACTTTTAGTGGATTATCTTTTACTTAATTACAACACAACTTTTTCCTCGCGAGTGAGGAGTCTTTACCAAAACCCATCAATGATTTTGACTCCCAAAAAAAACCAAACAAACAAACACAGTGTTTTGATTTGATGAGGCAGCTCCACAACTACCTTTTCAGGTTAATTTTTTACAACCTCGAGTTTCCACCAAACGATTTCTCGCTGATGACAGAGGCTTCTCTGCAAAGCCTCTTCACCTTTTCCATTCCAAAAGAATCATGCGTTCGCGTTTGGAGTGCGCCTTCAACATGGGAGCGTACATACCGTTGTGGGTCTCCCACACCAGGATACCTGCGCAGCCTTGTTGCAAGAACTGATGAAGCCTACTTGGATAAGAGGTTTCTAACCGGAGCAGTCCAGTTGCGATTCAATGCCCTGATAATAATTTGTTTGTATCGACGTTTTTAAAGGAACACCGTACAACTCTGTGAGTAACGACGAGTACTTATTGAGGCGGAATGTGGGCGTTGCACGGTCGTGTAGTCAAGGAGATGACAGCGGTGTGGGCGCGGCTTGTAGTCCGGGCGCGAGTTTCCTCGGGCGGGGAGGATGTGAGCGTTTGAGCGGCGGTGTCGTCTCCTCCCACCCGCTGATTCCCTCTTCTTCTCCGTCCTTCTTCATCTTCTCCTTCTCCTTCGTCGAAAGTGGGCGACGGTGAGTGAACTTGAGTCTACTTTGCTGCGTATTTATTCGTGTGTTTGTCAACCATTTATGGCGAAAAACAAAGCGTTTTGGGAATTGACTGTCAACGTCTGGAACGCGCCGTTTGGAAGCTTCAACATGTTTTGATAATTCATTTTGGACTTTTTGAGTCACTCTGCTGAGCGAGAATATGTCGTTCTCGATACTTTGAAGCAACTCTTGTTTGGACCAAAATGTGAGGCTAGCCAGCTAGCTGCGTTAGCTTCATAGTGAAGTGAAGGAATGAAGGATGCTTCCTCGTGATCTTTTTTTGCTTTAAAAAGTCATGTTAACTTGTAATGGCAACATGAAGTTGCAGACCATGCTTGACCATTCTTGATGATTGAAGTTTTGTTTCAAACAAGTATTCAAAAGAAAGAAATGCAAATTTACTATATGAACTTGATCCCATACCGAAACACTGTTTGGAAATTAATCTGATTTAAATCCTATCCCTTGTGTTTTAGCCAAATCTTAGCCACTGAAAGACATCAACATCATTCAGGGCTGCGTGATAAGACCTTAAAATATATAACAAGACGACAAAAACAACACCAAGTGCACGGTGACGAGATTGCTATCACGCCTGCTGGAGTGCTTGTGGGGGATAAATACATTTTGAGCTGTCAATGCCTCTAATAGTACTAAAAGCTCAGACTTTAATACCGATATTTTTGATACCAGAAAGGAACGCTGTGGTTAGCAAACTCATACAAGAATCACATTGGTATTTCCATGCAGAAAAATGTAGTTCATACATAGGTTACATATTGAAAGCTATGGGCAAAAATCGAACAGTGGCTGCCCGCAACAGATAATTGTTTTTGTGGTAAACACCTTGCCGGTAATATCTTAATTTATGGATCTGATCACTGACATCATTGATCATGCCTGCGAGTTCATTACAGCCAATCGCAAAATTTGCATAGAAAATATCGGCTGATCTGATAATAGCCGATGAGATCGGTGGAAAGTGTATCCAAAGCGAATGTCACATTTTCTATTAGATTGCTGTTTTTGACCTCATACTTTAATTGTGCTTTTTTATGAGTACATTTTACACATTAAGTACAAGATACAGTGTCGAACACATCAAAAGACTTAAGATGGAGAACAACGAAGAGGAAATTATTTTTTTTAAATTTGTTCATTTCTTAACAAAAAAAAAATTGTGTTTATAGTTCATATTTTTTCATTTCACAGCCCAACAGTGCACATTTTAGACCATAAAGGTTTTTTTTTTGTGGGGTTTTTTTGTTGTTGTATTTGTGTATGTGTCAAAGACATCTCCAAATTACTTTTAAGTATTTCGATTCATACTCCATTTTGTTTTGTTTATTTTGTTTTGAAACTTAACACAATATGATACTGAAACATCCATCCATTAGCTGAACCGCTTTATCCCCACGAGGGTCGCGGGTGTGCTGGAGCCTAGGCGGGCTACACCCTGAACTGGTTGCCAGCCAATCGCGGGGCATTTTCAGGGGATTATTGTTTTAGAAGATATTATTATCTTATATGATGCTAATTACATGACATGTTTCACGTGACACATTTTCTCCCATGTGGTCAAGTTTGGGGACACAGAAATCCGCTCATAAAAACAAATGTATAATTTAAAAGTGATGTGAGCACGCCACACATCTGCACCGACGTCATGACATCAGTGGGAAAATCTTAGCTAGTCAAAGACATCAGCATCATTTAGGGCTGGGTGATATGACCTCAAAATAAAATCCCTGGGTTTTCTTTTTCACGTTAAAGAGGGATTTTGCAGTTTTAAAACAGTGAGCAAGATTTGAAATGTAGACCCACATTTTATCACTAAAGTCTGAGCGCACATGGGCATTTATGTTGCATAAAATATGTAAAACACGTAGTTGTGAGGTATAAGCACAGAGAATGCTGTCCGACTTCAATAAAATAGCAATGCTAGCAATACCAAGTTAGCATCAGCACTTTAATTAAACTAACTTTAGTCACGGCTACTACATTGGTTGCATGACTATGTATTCGTTTGAAGTTTTTTTTTTTTCATTTTTGGGAATGCATAGCGAAGTAAAAAAAATAAAAATAAATAAATATCAGGTGATAAACCTTCCCGTCACAGAATTGTTGCTTATTTCACGCCCCTTCCTCTCAGTTTCCTGAGGTCACGTCCTTCTGCTACCGTTTCCTATGGTGGATATTTCAAAATAGTTCCAGCAAAGCTCCTGAAACTCAAGCTCACAGGTCAGCGCAGGGCTGCGGAGATTTTCTGGCGGACCGGCTTTTAGTGTACTGTATTTGGGTGTTTTCTTTAAAATAGAGTGTGTGGGAGGGGGGGACAGCACACTTCCTCATTTATACAATTTCTCCAATTGTTTTTTTTTCCTCTCTCTTGCTCGTCGAAAAAGCAAATTACAATGTGATTTAAAACAAGTTTTTGTTTGTTTTTACCCTTGGATTTGCATTGTTTCTCCTGATACAGTTTCCCCCACCCTGCATTAACTCCCGTACAAATGATAGCATGTATTTTTGTCTCCACGCAGATAATGTAAAAGTAAGTGTTTCCTCTCAGATATTGTCAAATCGTGCAAGTGTACTCGATGTAAATGTGATCCTTTGGAACCTCGCCTCTTTTACACATACACTTTTTTCCATGTACAGGCAAGGCAATCGCGACAAAATATTTGCTGCGTGGAAGCGCATACTTCGGGTCAAAAGTTTTCATCATGTGGATAAATCATCATCCATCATGCTTTTGGTAATGTTCAGCGTTACCAATTCTGTCATTGCCTTCCACAAGCTCTTTTTGTTTTCATACGATGAACAATGAAAAGGGTTTTGTCGCGGGGTATTAAAGTCGCTTCTTTGAGAAATAGTATCAAGGTTGCCCAGAAAAGGGGCTGAATATAGCAGCCAAATCTCTAAATTGGTCACACTGACTCTACTTTTGTTAACTTGCTCCTGTCTGTTTGCAGCGATTAATCGGCTAGCCCGAGCTTGATGAAAGAATCAGATGACAGACTTTACAAAGCAATACATTTGCATGTTTGTAGTAGCCCGAGCATCAAGTTTAGGTACTTACTGTTAGATGACAGATAAACAATTTTCAATTCCTGCTATCCCCTTACATATGGCTAGCTTCCTAACCTCTGACAGAAAATCCCCCAACCCCCCCTCATTATTCCTGTATGTGTGTTCTGCGTGAACGGTACCAATATGTAATGCGGGGTCGAAGTCGACTGTCAGTTTTTTAGGGCTCCATAAATGGTATCAGAGGTGTACACGATTAGCAAGGCTTAGCAGCCAAGACTCACTTGGGTGAGTTTAGTGTGAAAGACACGGGCGAATCGATGCCTGGGATTTGCAGAGAACCTTGTGCGAAAGATATTCACCTTCCACCGCACCGTCATTCGATGCTGTCAGAGTGACACCTCGCTGATGTGCTCGGTCAGCAAGGGGTCGACCCAATTAGCGACAAATCTGCAGCCGCTAACTGGAATGATGAAAGAGCCGGCAATTACTTTGACCCGGTGGTGTCGAAAAGCATTTTCAGAACATTTGAGAAGTATTGGATAATTAATGATCATTCTCACCAAAGATGCCGTGACACCATTGGCTGTTTTGTTGCCGGATTTCATGGTTAGCATGACAAAATAATCAGAAGGTTCTTGTCGCCAGGTAGCGACTTGGTCGCACATTACCTCGACCTAGCTTCATAGATGAACTTGCTTGTTTTGGACCCTACTCAAATCCCTTTATTTATTTATTTATTTATTTATTTTTAACAAGGGCAAGTGCTATGGATAAATGGATGAATAGTGTTCGCTTTAACCCTTTCAGGGACAAAGGTTACTGCAGTGGACATCTTCTCATGTTATCAGGTTACAGTGTGCATGAAAGGGTTAAGGTGCTGCTCTACGCTATCTTCATTTTAGTGTTGCCATAATCCAGCCAGGGATGAGCTCCCTTGCCTCACTCGATGCCTCCTCCATGACAGGAAGGGCTGAGAGCGAAGTGTTGCGGGAGGCGGTGGGGGAAAAAAGGCAAGTTCAGCCCTAAAGTGTTGGATAGGGAGAGACACTCCTGCTGAGGAAGTTTTGGATACGAGAGAATGAGACGAGCTCGATGATGATGGATTTGTACTTGATTGAAATTTCTGTCAAGGTGGATGCTTTGGGGAAGAAAAAAAAATGTTTCAACACTTCATTGGTATTAGAAGAAGTAAAGCGAAGAAGGGAAAAAAAAGGGAAAGCCTATTTTGGAGAATGTAATTGTCATTTGCATACTCTATATGTCAAGGGGGAATGGATCAATCAGAAATAAATTTTTTTTGAAGAAAAAAAAACAGATTTTATTTCAAAGCCACATGATACTGCACGAATGTGGACGTCCAAGTTTATTGATCATTTCAAGGATATTTTCAGCGAAATATCAAAAGCGTTTGCTCTGTCTTTTTCTAACATCACTCCGTCATGTGTGTCTAGACAGGTTACAGCGCCGTTGGGATCATGCTTTGAGGACCACCTCGACTTACACTCGTTCATTCTCCTACCTGTATTGGGGTGATTTGTATTTATTTATTTATTTTTCGGGGTGAGATGGGGCGGAAGAAGATCCAAATCACCCGCATCGTGGATGAGAGGAACCGGCAGGTTAGTGCCTTTGCTTTCCGTTGGGGGTTGGGGTTGACATGCCATTTCTTCTTTCTAACCACACACACACACACACACACACACACACACACACACACACATGTGTGAGTGTGAGTGCAGATGGTGTTCATCGATGTGTGCCCTGCGATTAGCCGGCAGCCAGTTCAGGGTGTCCCCCGCCTACTGCCTGAAGACAGCTGGGATAGGCTCCAGCACACCCCGCGACCCTTGTGGGGATAAAGCCGATCGGAAAATGGATGGATGGATAGAGAGAGAGAGAGAGAGAGAGAGAGAGAGAGAGAAAGAGAAAGAGAGAGATAAAGTTCAGACGACCTTCAGCCTCCAAATTGTCAATTGTCAGGCGCGCCGGATACGCATATCAAAAGAAGACGAAACAGCCTCGGTGCGCCTTAAAATTCAGCATGGCGCCAGGAGATATACCAAATTCCCAAACATGTGCATCAAGTCTTGCATCAGGAAGAAAATCAGGGTATGCCGGTTTCTAAGCTCAATCCCATAATGTCAACAATTGTCACGTACACACATAATGTAAACATTATTGCTTGTGGTTTTGGCGCTAATTAACTTGTTGATGTTGCTGTTAAAAGTAGTACAGCAAATACTCTGTATGTTTTGCAAAGGAATCCCTCAAGGATCCTTCTGTGGACTCTCAACATTTTCAGCGGTAAGGACGGTAATTTGGGGTTAGCCGGGTCCGGACGGCACCCTGTCATTTTCAGGGCGGGACGCACAACTCTTCCTTCTTCTCTCCCGGACGTCTGCTGGCGGGCTTCACGCCGCCCGCCGGAATCCCACGCGGTGCGACGCAGGCTAAATATATCAGGCAACAAACGGCGGCCTGTCTGCGAGAGAGGTGGCGGCGCTGTAAATAGCCACGTGGCCGGGGAAATAAATATGTGTTTGTGTTTAATGTTTGCACGTCTGGACCGTAGCGTCTCCATGACTGGAGGGGGGCTCTGGGTTGAGCTCCTACTTCCTTATTTCAGGAATGTCGCTTTATCTGTCTTGTAATGCGGCGTTTTTTAAAGTTTTGTTTTTGACAGAATTTAACTAGAGTGTATCTGAAAAATTATCTTAAAAGAGGAGGGCCACAGACTACAATAAGTTACTTTGAACCTCTTCCATTTCTTGCATTTTAACATGCAGAATTAGGATAGCATAGCTGTAGCATCATCTTGCTAACCTAACAAAAAAAAAAATGAAATTGTTTGTTTTTGTTGGTGTATGTTCGACCCAGTACACACATAAGGAATTTTCATATCTTTAAAGATTGTTTCTCAGTAACCAAACTCGCACATGAAGATAACAAATCAGGCATTTATCGCTTTTGGTCATATTATGCGTGGTGTGCTCCAATGATGTCAACACAAAACACCACACACATAAAGATTCTGTTCCAGGGGTTTTTGGAAGGTTGAGGGTTTCCAAATATGGTTTCAACTTCAAGACAGGAATGGGGTTTGCAAAATAGGGCCTCTAGCCAGGGTTTGGGTTTCAAGTTAGGGTTTCTAGTCTAGGTTAGGGTTTCTAGTATCAAATCAAGTTTCTTGATTTTGCTAAATCGCCATTTTTTTAAAGCAGCCCATTTACTGGTAAATGGAGTATTGACTGATTATTCAGTCACCAAAAGTTCATTTTATCCATCCATTCATCCATTTTCTAATCCGCTTATCCTCACGAGGGTCGCGGGCGTGCTGGAGCCTATCCCACCCGTCTGTGGGCAGTAGGCGGGGGACACCTTGAACTGGTTGCCAGCCAATCGCAGGGCACACAGAGAGGAACAACCATTCGTGCTCATAATCACATTTCGGGACAATTTAGAGTGTTCCATTAACCTGCCATGCATGTTTTTGGAATGTGGGAGGAAACCGGAGCACCCGGCGAAATCCCACGCAGGCATGGGGAGAGCACACAGAAAGGCTGTAGCCGGAATCGAACCCTGCACCTCTGCACTGCGAGGCTGACGTGTTCACCAGTCGCCTGCTGTGCCACCAAGTTCATTCTATGCGACATTTATATTTTTGGACAACTTGTACAATGAAGATATGTCGTTTGGAGAAGTACAATACTTGCTGCAGCTCTTGTATTGAATGTTATTCGATGCCTAATGAAACAGACACTATGAATAATAATATTGATACTAGTGCTAATCCCTTCTTATTTGCCTTGTGCAGAGGAAGTTATGGGCGCCGGGTCAGGGACGAGGTGGTGTTTACGTCCAGTCAAAGTTTGTCTTGGCTGAGCTGGATGTTGGCTGATGTGTATTTATGTTCTCCTTGCCTAAATTTACACACTTTGCCTTCCGCTTTTAATAACTTCTCTTTTATTTTCTTTATTACTCATCCCTGTGCCGTTTGTAGACGACACTTGAGTTCCCGATTAGGGTGTCTGTGGATCTTTAAAAATGTCCAAACTTCATTGTCCTTAAAACTGACATGAATAATAACAACAAAGTCAGACAATCGAAGGTCCTCAAAATGGCTCATGTCATATAATAATACTAATCCACCACAATATGGCTTTTAAAAAAAATGGTACAGTACACACTATAATGCTAAACATTCAAACGAAATCAAAATAAACACTTAAATCAAAACAGTTATTGGGTTTGAAATTGACACAGAACTCAATAATTATTCAGCCCGAAAAAATGTCATGTAATATAATTAAAGCTGCCATCCATGCATCTTCAAAATGACTCATAAAATCTCAAGTCAACTCAGCCGTATTTTGAGAGCTGTTGAAAACACCCACTGCTGGATACAAATTGCAGGTCTTTAAATGACTCAATAGTGCAAATTAACTCTGCTTTTTACAGGTCTTAAAATTACACCCAATTTAAGAATAAGAAATAAAACTGGCGTTTATAGGTCTTAAAATAATGACACATAATGTACCGGTATTCGGAAGAAGTGTATCTGTCAATCATGGGTCTGAAAAGTGCTTCGTACGATAATGATAATACTGATTATATTGAGACCTACAAAAAGAACGATTCACGTTGCCCTGTCTTATAAATGACACACAATTCAATCATGACAATTCCGTCTGCTTGCTCCAAACTGTTTCGTCATGTGAGAATAACAATAATTGAACGGAATTGTTGTCCACCCAGGTCACGTTCATGAAGAGAAAGTTTGGCCTGATGAAGAAGGCCTACGAGCTGAGCGTGCTGTGCGACTGCGAGATCGCCCTGATCGTCTTCAACGGCTCCAACAAGCTCTTCCAGTACGCCAGCACCGACATGGACAAGGTGCTGCTCAAGTACACCGAGTACAACGAGCCGCATGAGAGCAGGACCAACGCAGACATCGTGGAGGTGGGACATCATCCTTTTTCGTTTGGGCCACTTTTCAGGTGGGGCGGCGCTTCCGCCGTGTCTCCAGTAAACGGGTGGAACAACTTTTGTGCTCAAGGGCCGCGTTTGATTTTGAAAACGAACAGATGGGCCATGTCATTGGCACGTAGGGTTCACAAACAATATGTATTTGTGTAAAATAGTTCAATTTAAGTATAACATAATGACTACTCATTTTGAATTTTTATTTATACTGTAATTAATTTAGTTATGAATATTAGACAATTATTTGAAAAATGAAATATACAATTTTTAAACTTACATGTATTTTTCCAACATTATTGCATTTTTTTATTCGTTGCAAATCAATTAATTAATGGTATCACTGTATATAAAAAATAAATAAATACATGTAACACAATGTACGTTTTGATCATAAAATGATTCGTTGTCCTATGTATGAATTTGATTCATTGATTAGTCGACTACTAAATAAAATCATTGTTAAATGTATCTGTAAGTTGATTTGGTGTTTATATTTTATTATTTACATGAATTACCCAGTTATTTTAGTAATGAATAAATAAAAATAAGTTTAGCTATGTAAAATGTTTTATTTTAATATTGTATAATAAAATAAGTTGTTTTTATTTTAAATATTGTCACAATGTAATTGGTGACTAATTTGCCATATATTTCATAAAATAATTACAAACTTCTTGCATGTGTAAAATTATATATATTATCGTCATGTTTTGTCGATTATTTCTCATAAATCAATTGAATAAGTGAATCATAAAAATCCATGAAAAACATATTCTTTTAATAATTAAAGAATATACAGTATTGTTTGTCATTCATGTAATTAGAATTCATGACCAATGGCTTAGTAGAATAAATACAGAAAAGCAAAATGTCACATTGCCTATTTTATTCATATTCTTTTTATTATTCATCATAGATCAATAAACCAAATATTTAATGAGTGAATAAACAAAAATAGCATTAATAATGCATTTTTCAGGGAGGAAAAAATTTGAAATTCATTCAACAAATATTGTAGGACTCTTGACCATGTCAATGCTCGTTGGGCTGGAGTAAAAAAAAAAAAAACAGAGCTGTATGAGTACGCCAGCACCGACATGGACAAGGTGCTGCTCAAGTACACCGAGTACAACGAGCCACATGAGAGCAGGACCAACGCAGACATCGTGGAGGTGGGACATCATCCTTTTTCGTTTTGGGCCACTTTTCAGGTGGGGCGGCGCTTCCGCCGTGTCTCCAGTAAACGGGTGGAACAACTTTTGTGCTCAAGGGCCGCGTTTGATTTTGAAAACGAACAGATGGGCCATGTCATTGGCACGTAGGGTTCACAAACAATATGTATTTGTGTAAAATAGTTCAATTTAAGTATAACATAATGACTACTCATTTTGAATTTTTATTTATACTGTAATTAATTTAGTTATGAATATTAGACAATTATTTGAAAAATGAAATATACAATTTTTAAACTTACATGTATTTTTCCAACATTATTGCATTTTTTTATTCGTTGCAAATCAATTAATTAATGGTATCACTGTATATAAAAAATAAATAAATACATGTAACACAATGTACGTTTTGATCATAAAATGATTCGTTGTCCTATGTATGAATTTGATTCATTGATTAGTCGACTACTAAATAAAATCATTGTTAAATGTATCTGTAAGTTGATTTGGTGTTTATATTTTATTATTTACATGAATTACCCAGTTATTTTAGTAATGAATAAATAAAAATAAGTTTAGCTATGTAAAATGTTTTATTTTAATATTGTATAATAAAATAAGTTGTTTTTATTTTAAATATTGTCACAATGTAATTGGTGACTAATTTGCCATATATTTCATAAAATAATTACAAACTTCTTGCATGTGTAAAATTATATATATTATCGTCATGTTTTGTCGATTATTTCTCATAAATCAATTGAATAAGTGAATCATAAAAATCCATGAAAAACATATTCTTTTAATAATTAAAGAATATACAGTATTGTTTGTCATTCATGTAATTAGAATTCATGACCAATGGCTTAGTAGAATAAATACAGAAAAGCAAAATGTCACATTGCCTATTTTATTCATATTCTTTTTATTATTCATCATAGATCAATAAACCAAATATTTAATGAGTGAATAAACAAAAATAGCATTAATAATGCATTTTTCAGGGAGGAAAAAATTTGAAATTCATTCAACAAATATTGTAGGACTCTTGACCATGTCACTGCTCGTTGGGCTGGAGGAAAAAAACAAAAAACCGCGCTGTATGTGAGGCCATATTTTGCTCCTCCTCGCTCAAATTTGAGATTCAGCCGTTACGCTGGCGTTTACCACAAGAAGGCACCTGTGTCAACCGCTCTCGGCTTCATTTGCTTGCATGTATCGCTTGTTAGCGTGACGCCCGGACGTGGTTTACATGGCAGACGGAAACATTTGCACAGCACTGACATTTGAGTCCGGCCTTCTTTGTCATCGGAAAAAATGTTCACTGACCATCCTGCACGAGTTTGGTTTGTCACGCCAGGAATGACGACTTCGGTCACGCTGTGGCATCCTTCCTTGTATGAACAAAGTGCAGCTACGATAGCACCTAACTGCATCATCGTGTGTCGCAACCATAAATTTCAATTTCAGCCATTTTCCCCCCCACAAGGCACTGAACAAGAAAGAGCAACGAGGGTGCGAGAGCCCAGACACGGCCGACAGCACCACCTATGCCTTGACACCAAACACTGAAGCTAAATACAAGAAGATCAACGATGACTTTGACCACATGATCAGGAGCCACAAGATGGTGAGGAAAGCCCCCCCCAGTACACAGTCATCTCCTCTGTAGCAATTAAATACAGAACTTGGGACTTCTCAAGAGTTCTGCATTGGTTCCTTTTGACCCGAGCTTATTTTCCCCCTTTGTTTGGGAGATGTTTCTGATGTCTGATGAAACCAATGTCGAACTTTTTTCCTTCCAGAAGGTGCCTCAGCCAGTCAGTTAATCAAGTCAAATCATGTGTTGAGTCGCTGCGCGAGTTTCTGACATGCCGTTGTCACCTGTCTGTAGTCATCAAGTCTGCCGCAGCACAACTTGGTGCAGGTGGAAGGAGGAGGAAGCGGTGATGGACGAATGATGGCGGTGGCGTCTCAGCCCGCTCACCTGCACAGGAACGTCCACGCAACACAAAGATCGACCAGCACCACCAACACGGGTGTGCGAAGCAGTTCCTTGATTTGTTGGTTTGTCAATCACGTTTGGCAGTCTGTGTGTTGGAACCACGTGGACACAATTTGTTTTGGCTTCCGTGCAACAGAAAAATTGTAGATGCCGTTGTTGTTTTAGTATGAATCTGGGATGTGTATTCATTGACACCAAGAACGTGCTAATTTTTAGTTTATGTTTAGGTCATATGCACAGCAGTTCAGATCTGATGCTGCAAAATGGATCTGGACCAGATGGTAGGTTCCTCTTGACAGTCACACACACAAGCACTCAACAATTTGAGTTATAGTCATATTACCCGCCTGTCTACAGTAGCTAGTTACTAAGTTTGTTGGTTCATGTCAGCTGAGCATTAAAATCGCTTTGGCTTGTTGATTGGTTAGTTGTTAGTATCTTGTCAGTAAATGAGTTGGTTGGTGGAGAGACAAAAGAGGGAGTTGGTGATTTAGTCAGCCTCATAGTATGTCAACCATTTGAATGACAAAATGTGACATCTTCATACGGTATCTTCATCTCACTGACCTTCGCGCTCACCCTCCCTAAAGGCCATGCCTCATACGAGCGCAACCATTATGTAACAAACAAGCTCAATAATTCAGTGTGATCTCCTCTATAATAAATAAAAGCTGCACTTTCATGCTCCTCGTCCTTCTCATACTGCTGCTGCAAAGCTTTTTCAAGTGATGACGTGACACAAATGTTACGGCGTTTGGATTTTTTGTGTGTGTGTTTTTAGTGAATGGCTTTGTGGAATCATCTCGAAAAATCCTCCCACCAAAATCTCAGATGCCAGCACGCAAGTCTGACCTGCGAGTACTCATTCCTGTGTCCAAAGCTGGGATGACCACGCTGGTACGTGTGTGTGTGTGTGTGTGTGTGTGTGTGTGTGTGTGTGTGTGTGTGTGTGTGTGATACATCACTGATTTGTCACCAGGACATAGGGTAGTATGCTCTAACATCAAATGACCTCATCCAGGGTGCGGCCATCACAACAACACCAAATAAACGCAGTTGTACTTCCTGTAGTTTAAAAAAAAGCTCATAATAGATTACGTTTTTCTGCTTATTTTATGCTTGGAATGAAAAATGATTTATACTCGTCATTTTAGTCTGTACTCTTAGTGGTTAAACACAAAATCATGATCCTCTTCTATTTTTAAAAAAACACTTTGGAATATTCTCTTAAATGAGAATTGAGGACGGAAAGTATCTATAATTTAACTGTTAATACTGACACCGAGTGGACAGAAATGGCACCACAGCATAATTAAAACAAACTAAAGAGAACACAATTTGTTCACATTTCGATTCAGCGATTGACGGGAAATTGGGTGGACACACAGGACGCTTGGGGGAGAAAAATATTAAACACTTAACTTGAATAGAAAGACTGCCAGTTTGGACACTTTCTTGTGTTCAGATTTTTGGCCCAGATTCTGAACTTTTCATCTACTGAAACGGATTTTGGGGGCAAATAATTGCAAGGATGTTCCCTCTCGCCACTATTTTCCTGGTAAATATGTATTAATATTCTGATGATTGTGTTTTCAGGCTGAACAGTGTCATTCGAGTCCAGCTTTGAGCACGCCAGTGGTCTCTATTAACACCCCCAACTTGACTCAGCACAACCAGCTGTACAGCAACATCAACTCTGCATACGACAACGGTAACACGCTTGTGCAATATGATAGCAGGATCACAAATCTACTTTCACTCCTGACAAAGAGGAATGCTATCGCATTTACTCATCTCGAGTTCTAGCAGTCTGTTACATCGTAGTTGACTGCCATTTTATTGGAAACTGTTACAAGGTTCGACTGTAGCATGGTAAGGTAAGATGAAAATGTGCTTCCCTTCCCACACAGGAAGTGTTTTTTCCCCCCAGTCTTTAGCGTGAAAATTTAGATCTTGCTGCCGTAAAGAATTGCGGGTAAAGGTTGGTCAGGAGTAACCGATGCTAAAGGGGGCGTAAAGGTTGCATTCAGGCACCTTTAAGCATTTGCAGAATTAGAATTATCCTATCCTCCGAATACTTTGGTTCATCTCATCCGAATAGGAAAGGGGTGTGAATGTCCTTGGCAAAAAGAATTCCTATAGGCCCGAGAGTTAGTGTGTATATATATATATATTTTTTTAATGGGGGTATAGGGGGATATTTTAATTTGAATATATCTTTAAATTAGTAAAATATCCCAGATTTTTATGATTTTCCATACTTTTATTTGCACCCATTTTTGAATTGAGGTTAAACGTTCCAATAAAAATCCATGACCAAAAATGCCCAAATTATATTTTTTCTTGTCAGATTATGAACTGAGCAGCGCTGAACTGTCAGGTTTCTCCATTACCACCTGGCAACAACAAATGGCCACCTCGCTGGGGTAAGACGTGAGCAAGATCAGTTCAAGTTGAAAGATTGCATTTCATTAAACTGTTCTGCAATACTCAAGTATAGCAATGTACTTAATTTTCGAACTGTTGATCAAAATCTAATTTCCTGTAGGGTTAATAGTCTTTGAAACTATTTGCCAGTTCAACTGTCACCAATACTCGTGTGGTATGGTTTGTTCAATCGTGAACAGACTGGCAAAAGCAATAAGCTGTCAAGTCATTTGGCTACTCTTTAAATTTGCCCAAGAATAACCCCAAGACTATTCAAGTTCCCCCATCCCTGATGTATGACCTAACCAAGACAGTTAATACACAAAACATTTCATAGCATTTGACCCTGCAACCCAATTCTAATTCCATGTTGAGCTGTTATAGTCATATCAACAGTGACCAAGCCCATTTATCCTGTGGTGATGTTCATATACAAGCCAAACCTCAAACGATATGAAAATGTAGTTTATTAGCAAATCCAAATTACAGGTAGTACGGATGGACCCCAATTTCCATCAGAGCATTTTGAGGCTTGAATGCCAACAACTCCAGGTGAAGTCCAAAAATACCTGAGAACACAACAAAAAGTAACCTTGAGTGTACATTTCAATGAGATTTAATATTCAGCAGCGTAGCATTGAGCTCAGTCCCATATCCGCAAGATTCATCCAACAGTCTCTTGTTAAAAAGGTCATCATAGATCACAAAGTGCTCGCATGAACCAGTAGTTTACACACCTTAGAAGCGTCAGCGTCAAAGGCCTGACAACCTAGACAAAAATAAACACAAATTAGAACAAAACCGAGGTTTAGGCAAATGCAATACAACCACTATCCATATGTGGGACAGCTGAGTGGCTGCTGCTGCCATGGTAACGTCAGAACAGTCAAAGACTGCCTCGCATGTTCTAGCATGCACTTGGAGGGCACAAGCTACACACAAGCTTGTTCCTTAGGATTGCATGCAAACGCATTCATTCACGGCACTTATTCCACCTGGAAGCCTAAAAGCTTTGTGAGCAGTGCACCAATTGGTCATTTACCTCAATGCCACTGAAGACTCTTCACCCTAAATGAAAGACATTGACTATTAGATGAGATTACAGCGATCACTTCAGGTAATTGATCGTAACATGGCTCAGTAATTGGAGAATCAGTCACAGATCTCAGTGAGGGCAAGTGTGTCTTCACAGCCAGAGATTCACGGTGGGACTGCCTTTGCCTTGTCTTTGGATTTTGGTTTAAACAGTGATTTATGACATCAGCATTGAAAATGCATTTTCCGGCGTGTGTTTTCATCTTTTTGGAACAAAAAGTAGTGCTTGTATACATAAGCAGTTGGCTTGTATTTCAGTTTGGTTTCCAAGGGTGACCATGGCCATTATTAAATCAAGGTCATCTTCAGATTGCGTTTGCCGTTGGCAGTCCCACTGTGCAGCGTTGTAATAATTTAGACATACCTTTGATTTGTGGTGTTCAGACGCATAAGCCTAACATCTGCGGAAAAGGACAATCTACATCAGTTTCTGTGGACTTGGTAGAGTTAAAATCGTCAGAATATCCTTTCCCAAAAATGTTGCTGTATCAGTTATTCGTTTAAACCGAACAGCGACCGTCGGTGAAAGTTTTTCTGTCGGCTTCCTTTTGACCGTTGAATGCTACTAAAAAGAGCAACAACGGCTTCGATAGGAGCCTGGAGAATGTTTATACACGTTGCATGTTTTCACAAAATATACCTTTACAGATAACAGAAATAAACGTGCTGTGCCGTCATTTCTGTTGGAAGTAAGATACTAAAGGAAAAAAACAACATATGCCCTAAAGCTATATAGATTAGCTTTCGGTTTTGTTTTGCTTTACAAAAACATGCTTTTATGGCACACTGAAAACTGGCCAAATTGTTCACAGAAACAAGTCGCCCACAACACGTGGTGTGTGGCCCACTCAACAGCATGCAGCTTTAGCTTAGCCTTCAGTCTTAGCCCACATTTCGACACTCTTGATTAAATTACGATTCCATGCGGTTTTTGTCAGCGACATATAAATTTTCAGTTGTTTCCCCGACATCGCCAATGACACAAATACGTTAACTTACATGTCTCGTCCTCGAATCTTTGTACGCCTCGTACGGAGATTTGGGAGAAGAGGAAAGAGAGCGAATGGCACAGGGTTGCACTTATATAGACTTGTGACGTCACACATTGCCTGTTTTGATTGGACAGTTCTCGTTTCCGATGCATGATGGGAATTGTAGTTTTTCCTAATCTATTAAAACTGTTACGGTAGGCAAATGAAACTTATTTAGGAATTGAAATGAATTTAATAAACGGCCAATATTCACATGGTAATATAAATAATACTGTGACGTACTGAAGATGGGCTGTTTTTTCAGCTGCAACAATTAATTTTAGTCGTGTGTGTGTGTGTGTGTGTGTGCGTGTGCGTGTGTGTGTGTGTGTGTGTGTGTGTGTGTGTGTGTGTTTTAAAAAAAAAAAGAAAAAGAAAAAATGTCTCATGCTTTTTAATAGTTTTTTAATAATTAATTGAATCATGAGTTGAACCTCCCCTCCCCATCCACCATGTTTGCAGACCAGGCATCACCACCAACCACAGTAACATCAGCATCAAGGACGAGCCCCCCTCTCCCCCTCCGCCTCGGGGCTATTCTGCTCCTTCCGAGGGCGCAGTCCAGCGGGATGAGCATCCGCTGCGCCGTCGCCCCGACTTCCTCCCTTTGGCTATCGCTCGCTCAGAGGCTGATGACAGTGCGGCGACGAAGCGTCTTCGCGTGGACACCTGGGTCACATAGATGAATAGTAACCGTTATGCAACTTCAACTGACGCACTTCCTGCTCTCAGGGTCGCTAAAAGCAATAACCACCATGTCTTGCCCCAAAAAATTAAAATTATTTTCTTTAACCGGCCACAAGATGTTGTTGAGGATATTGTTCTGTTTGAATGATAAAAATGTGTCTCAATCGTTGTGTATATAGTACTTTACCTTTAATATATCTCTTTGGCTGTAACCAAGTATGGATCTTGCATTATTCTTAGGTCTTAGCACATACTTAGTTTTTTACTACTGGTGTGTCCTTTTTTTCAGCATGGTGGACAATGATTATCACGTCTGCCTCACAGTTCTGAATATCGGGGTTTGAATGTCAGCTCAGAAGTGTGTGCGCGCGCGCGTGTTGTGTGTGTGTGTGTGTGTGTGTGTGTGTAAAAGAGTGTCCCTTTTGGGTTCAACGATATGTTTTGCGTTTTTAGACCTACAGTTTGGGCCATTTCTTACTGGGTTGTGCACAGTTTTAGTGTATCATAGCGTAATCTAGTGGGGAAACTGAGTTACTTCAGTTTGCAACCAAAAAAAAGATTTTTTTTTCTTTGCCTCCCTCAACACACAACAAATATTGGCGGGAGGGGTGTTATTATCGCCGTTACTGTCCAAAATAACAACAAATAAACCGTCTTTTAGGTTAATTTAAAAGTAAAAACGTGTAGGTATGACTGATATTCATGGAACGTGAAGCACACCTCTCGCCAACATTGTGGTTTTCCCGTGGTGACAATCGGAAACGAAGCACATCCTGCACAACCTTTGCATAGCGTGCAAACAACTCAACTTTCCAATGGTGTTTTCTTTGCTTTATCGAATTTTATTGTCCCGGTATTTTTATTTGTGCTTCAATTCACTCAAAAGCTATGCAAAACCCAAGTGAGCAAAAGCGGAACTACAACGTTTTGTGAATTTTAAATTCACTCAAAGTTCCGCTGCGTTAAATTACACGCTCTTGGTAGACACATAATAGTAATTAAACATGTTTAAATGATCACCGAGACACCGTCGTTATCTGATCCATTGAAGAAATCGTCTTCTTTCGAAGCTTTTATTTTGATATGTCACGGAAGCACTTTGTTGCCCGCTGTTGTTGGCTGTCTAATGGTGGAGTCGGAAAACGGGCGGGGAAGCAGGTTTGAGGCTCGAAGTCACCGCGATGTGTCGCAGTCGCACAGGGAGCATAAGAATACACACTTCTTGGGGGAGACGTTCCTCTGCCCTCGCCTCGAAGGTAAATAAACGTCAATATTTGTCTCTTTTGTACTTTGGTGTCCGCGAGGGTAGGCAGAAGGGCAGGTGAGCTTCTTCACCTGAGCTTCAAACTGATGTCCGACGCGAGGGAAAGTTTTTGAGAAAGCGAGATCACGCTTCCGGGTCCGATTTTCACATCGAAATTGCGTCGAAGCCAACAAATACTTTTCACATTTTCAACTTTTATCCATTAATTTGGATGCGATTGTCAGAGCACAGAACAGGCGATTAATTCATCGATTCGCCAGGTACCTATTGAAACTCACCTGGAGAGACAATTTAGTTTGTTTAACCAACTGAAGCTGACTTTTGCAGAGAAGAGCCGGGTACACCCTTGAATGCTCACCAGTCAATTACAGAGCACACTTAGAACAACTCACGCTCACATTACTCCAGTGAAACACTACGGGGGGAAAGAAATCCAAGATCCGTCACCCCATTCAGTGACTACACTTTTGTATTTCAGCGACAGGCTCTCTACGCTTTGCATTCTTAGAAACGTTTAAATATGACCGTAGAAATATAGTTAAGTGGGATTTTAAAACATAATGTATATTCCGGATTGAAACATTTGCTTTTGTGAAAGCTCACATCCGTTTGATTGGTTGTTGCACATGCGATTTGGGAGCGCCTTTCCCTGGAGATTCAAATATTGAATTACTGTACCACAAAAACTAATAGCCACACTCATGAAAATTGGTTGACAGTTAGGCTCTGTCGCTCGGTGTGCGGCGGCCTTTACTCATATCCCCTCTCATTAACCCCAAATTCCTGTCCAGAACTCTGAACCTTAACACAAGCTTGTATTTACCATAACCCTAACTCTATCCAACATATTTATCCTTAATCTAATCCTTAATCCTTCCCTTGGCTTCTCTCAATCTTTAAAACAATATAATCGAGAAAAAAAAAGATCATCAATGAGAACGGCTTGGTGTGTTTACAAGTTTCCCACCTACCATGTAACGTGAAGCACGTATGTGATTCTCCCATGTCTTAGCATGCTTTAAGATGCTTATTCACAAGCAACTTGAAGTTTGCTGTCAAACTAAACACACAACACAAAGAATGACACGCATTGCATATTTAAATACATGCTTCGTTTTTTAAAACATTACTAGTGCTAATGCAAAAGTTAATGTAAAATCCCATTGACATGCTAACGGGGAATTAGCATTGACTTTAGTAGTGTTACTTTTCAATATCAAACATACGCGGTGAAAACACATACAAACAGGTAAAATAATATTCAAAGGCACAAATCTTACAAATATATATATTTTTTATTCGTGCTTTCAATATCAGTCAAAATAATCATGATTATTTTTTTTTTCCCCCATAGCGGTTCAGCCCGCAATCAACTACAAGTAGGATCTTCCGACATTACTGAGAAAGAAATTCCGATTTTTTTGTTCGGATGGAAGTTGATCACACTTCACTAAAATCATGTTCCAGTTGTAGTCACTTCGACACTATGGCGGCCTATTTCTTGATGCATATTTTGGTCTGAGCAGCGATGAGGAAAAGAACTCCCTGTCGTGTTCTGACACGACTCGCTAGTTGTTTAGCTCGCACACTCATTGACTGACAAGCAATGAAAAAGAAGCAGAGGCGATACGATCTGGGGAAAATCACTTCTCCCTATACACGTTCGTGTGATGACACCTCCATTTTGTGTGCTAATGACTGATTTATGTAAGGAAGAGGAAGTCACATGGTCATCGTCAAGAGAGAGAGAGTGTGTGTGTGTGTGTGTGTGTGTGTGTGTGTGTGTGTGTGTGTGTGCGTGCACACAAGCTCAAGTGATGCAATCGTATCAAAGTAATTCTTGGTTGACTTCCAAGTTACTCTAATTTCAAAACAATGATTGTTTTCCTTCAAAGGAACTAACATCGTGAGTTACTGTCATATAATATATTGTTAACTGTACAAGCCAACTTTTAAGTAGGATTTGAGCATTAGCTTCAAGTAGCGCAGGGCAATATGGTCTCAAACAAAGATTTTTTTGTTTTGTTTTTTCTTGCCCTTAGCGCCCCCCCCCCACATGAATTCAACCAATTCCACAGAAATAATAGAAACACATATTATGTAAACATGATCCTTGATAAATAAACGTTCTTACATTTTTAACATAATGAAATGACTATTTTCAAAGACAAACAACGGCAATGTGTAGCTAACATTGACTTCATTAATATTAATTGCTGTTTTTTGAAAATTTGTTTTTAATAGTCATCATAGGGGTCATAGAAGTGGCTACATATCGTGACCAAATTGTAACACTGACTGCTTTTGTATTCTAGCACTTCTGTTTGCAGCCATGTTGGTAATGCAAGCAGTGTAAGATATAAAAAAAAAAAAAAAAAAAAATCCCCCTTGCAAATTAACATCACATTCGTCCTCCAGCTGTGGGTTTTTTTTTTCTTTCTTTCCCATCACTGTCAAGGTTATCGATGGGGAGTTGCAACAACATTTGGCTGTCCATGAACATTTGGTACTTGGACAGTAATTGATGTTGTGACCATGAAACACCCACGCATGGCCAAATGCATCGGTGGGCTGGTACCATCATGTCTTTCACAAAACGGATGCTATGTGACGCGCTACATCGTTAATGATCTCTGGCGATCCGCCTACACAAGTAATAAGCAAATCTGAGAGTCGAAAAGTGTTGTGTTGTTTTGAGTCAACATGCAGTCAATCCTTGCCACATCATCCCAAAAATCTGAAAAATTGAACCAAGCGGATTTTGATTTGAATGAACTGTGCTCTACTTGTTGATAGTGGTGGGACAACACAAAATCTCAAATTTTAGCTCAATCTCAGCCGGAGTTGCTGTTCAGTTTTGGGGTCACTCTGAATGATATCCTTGTCCACTGACCACATTCAATTTAATGCTCATCTTTGCTGAGATGACGTGGTTCTAGAGTGGCATTTACAACAACATTGACAAGTTACCGTGTCCACCCCCCAGTCATCACTTTCATTGCACCATGAGAGTGAATACTGTACATCCATCCGTCCATAATCTAAACCGCTTTAAATTTACGAGGGCTGCGGGCCTGCTGGATCTTATCCCAGCAGTCTTCGCGCAGTCGGCGGGGTACAACCCCGAACCGGTTGGCAGCCAATCTCAGGGGTCACATTCTATCATGAGAAGACCCACAAAAAAAAAGTCACAAGACGCAATGTCTGTAAAGGCACAGGAAGCATTCCGTTTTGAATTGTTGCTCAATTCCTGTGTGTGTCCCAATGCTCTCTCTCTCTCTCAGGACTGGCCCGCCGAGTGAATTAATTTTTTTTTTTCACTAAAACCGTGCGGTTTTGCTGTGCTCCTAATCCCCATATTTGGGTCGGGCTGCGGATCTGTGATGCAAACGCTTTGCTTTGCTCTCCAGACGGCATACGGTGCACAGGTTTTGTCATGACTCGCTGTAGGAGGCAAAGTACGCTTGGCAGACGTACGGCCAACCCACCATTGACATTGTCAAAATTTAAAGATGGCATAATTAAAAGGTAGATATTCATCTTTCAATAATCCTAAATTATTTTGATCATATAGAACAAATATTGTCTGATTTATTTTGGTTAGTTGAATGAGGTAAAAATGTTGGTAAAATGTGTATGAAAATGTACATTTTTAGTATTGATAAGTATGATTTAATAATTGGTTGAGATGCTTCATGAATTCTTATAAATAAAAGACTATAAAGTAGTAGTAAAATAATGCGATTTATCTGGTTAATTGTGTTGAATAATGGAGAATTAATTCAAATTTATACAATTGAAAATTTTGAATCAATTCCAATTTTTGTCTTTTTAGAGCAATTTACAGGCACTTTAATTTTTTTGGGACAATGAATTATTTTTCCAAAAAAATATCAATTTATCTCATTAAATAATTGGTAGATTGACACATTATAAAGAATGTAATAA